GGGGAAGAAAAAAAAAAAAAGTGATGTTTTTTTTGCCGATTTGAACTTGGACGACGAGGATGTTGCCATTAAGTGTTTTTCTTGCTGAACTACGACGACTTTCATGTTGCCATGACGTGTTTTACCTGCCTATTTTGAACTAAAAGTGTGACTCCGGAGCAGTTTCCTCAAAAAAAAAACAAAGATCTTGGCTGTATATGCGCTGACTCCCCGTTTTTCACAGGGAGCATTCAACTGTCTGCCCAAAACTGACGGATGTGGCAGGGCACGAGAAGCACAGTCCAGAGTGTATCTTCCCTGCAATTGCGACCTTCTACATGTGAATCTCAAGGCAATCACGGTTTCCATCTTTTTTTTTTTTTTTTCATTGAAAAAAGAAAAGAAGGAAGAGGATTGGGGCAGTTGGGGAATAAAGGCAGATGCACTCTCGGGCTTGCACTTTCCAGCATGTATAGGACTCCACTATCGGCCCGCTACACCTGAATCTAGGGCAATCACGTAGTGCACCTGTTTTCTCCTTCTTTTTTCCTTGCAACTAAAAAAAAGACCAAAGATCTTGGCTGTATCTGAGCTGACTCCCCGTTTCTCACAGGGAGCATTCAACTGCCTGCCCCATTCAACTGCCTGCCCAAAACTGAATGCATATGGCAGAGCACGGGAAGCACAGTCGAGAGTCCATCTTCCCTGCAATTGCGGCCTTCTACATGTGAATTCAAGGTAATCATATCATATAGTCTTTTTCCCGTTTCTGTTTTTATTTTACAATGGCTGCTCTCTCCAGAATGTATCTGACTGCACTTGTGGCCACGGCCGCCACGCCCAGGGTGCTGCACGAGTGAAAACGACGGGAGGTACCAGTGCCACTCCAGAAAGTATCCCAAATCGGTTCCCGCCCCCTCCAGGCTCGGCAACACTTGGCGCGCAGGCAAAAATGAGGATTGGGCCTCAACAAGGGGTAGGTACTGGTGGTTTAAGGTGAATTGAAAGAATTTGAAAGATGATGAAAGATTTGAGAGAAGAATATAGCATAGTTAAAAAAAAAGAGAAAAAAAAAAGAAAGAAAGAATTATTCAATTGAAAAGGCAGCAACGAGAGCCCTTCTACACACACCGCTCCAAGTCCCAAGGCCAGCATATCAGCACTCGATGGCCCTGACTATCCGGACACCCACATCCCCGGTATACCACTCTCAATCACCACCACCTCATCAGAGACAGTCCCACCAACACCAATTTCCAACAGCATTTCACAGATCCCCTCCACTGATCCATTCTCCACTCCCCCCCCCTCCAGCTCCACTTCAGTTGACAGCACCGCTTCATCACCAACAGAGTCAGGGCATGAACACTCAGTTCCAATCAACTTGAATCAAGCCAACATGCAGCACATGCATTGGCACCACTCGACACGTACTCCCACGCCAGACCCCCGCCTGCACCAGGTCCAGCAACAGCGTCCTTCACTACGCAGCCTGCCATAACACGAACAAATGCACATGGGTACACCACCAGGGAAAAAAATGCACATGGGTACACCACCAGGGAAAATCCCATGTTCGTCAGGTATGACACCAACGTGCCCGGGGCTCTAACAGTTCAAGCACCAGGGACCATTTCTCTGCAGACACACCAAGGGAGCCAGTCAAATGAAGCTACCATCATAGGAGAAGACCAGACCCACGGAGCGGATGCAGTTATGAGGGATCCGCGCCAGCACCTGAGGACACCAGTAAAGCAAAGGAGGATCAATGAAGATGGAGAGGGGTTTACCACACAGGAGGAGGAAGAAGGCAAGTTGGAATTCATTACCATACCAACAACCAGGGAAGCAGGACACAGCTCCCAGCAGCTGGATGCAGCAGCCACTACCTCAGCATCAGCTCAACTGATCTCGACACAGCCAGCATCAGGCAGCATTCGACACCAGCTGGTACTCCTCTGTTTCACGCTGACACCTCAGGGAACAAAATTCATGGCCAGCCGGACAGAACAGGGAGCCCTCGCAATTCCGACAGTTCCAGTCAGTGCATCTCCAACAACAAAGGAGGCCATCAAGGCCGTGGCAGCAACATACATGGCAAACCGTTTTCCCTTCCGTCTGATCCGAGGTATCAGAATCAGTAGGAAAACGGTTGCAGCGTCAGCAGGAGGAAGCTGGCACTTCTCAATAGCGGTCATTGATGCCAAGGTACAGCTGGACACAGCCGCCATGCTGGCGACACAAGGCATAGTCTGGCTTCCATCCACATGGTTGACCCCCGCATCAACAGAGGAGCGGCAGGGCACCTTCATCACGGAGGATACCAATGCTTCCTTTGTAGCAGATTTCTGCGCATCACTGGCTGCGGACAAACAGCCATGCTCAGCGGGCTTCAGACACCTCCTTATGGCCCCCTGGGCCCCAGCAAACGAAACGGACCAGCGCCGTGCCAGGCAGGGCAGACAGCAAACAGAGGACTCGCAGCGGATCCAAAATGCAGTCGAAGTTGCAGCAACCGCACAACCACACGACCACACGACCATGCCCAGGCTTAGGGTTGCAACGTGGAACGTAAGAGGGTTGGGTGACACTTCAGGACGCCACAAGAAGGAGCGGCTCAAGACATAGTCAATCCAGGTGATGCTGCTCCAAGAAACCAAGCTCGACGAAGACAAACTGGCATCCAATCACAGTTGGTGGAGAGGGCCACAGTTGTGGGCCCCGGCAGATGGAACAAAAGGCGGATGTGCCATACTGATTCATCGGAACCTGGAGGCGCAGGTACTAGAGCAGGATGCAGACATCTGGGAGCACTGGGCCTGGTTCCGTTTGCTAATTGGGGGCGAAGTCTGGCTGATCATGACTGTTTACGTTCCTTCGGACCCAAAGGAAAGGAGGACATTCTTGGAGGAGCTTCCAGCTATCCTGCGTGAAGCAGACAATGTACTATTGGCGGGTGACTTCAATGTTACCCTGATTCCAGGACTTGACTCCCCTACCGTCACACAGCGAAAGACTGATGCCATCATGGTGTCTGATTTTTTCCAAAAGCAAAGCCTGACGGACACTTTCAGACAAACTCACCCGACGGAACCGGGTTATACCTGGTTCTCTTCGCAGACCAGGGGCACGCAGCTACCACCCAAGAGAAGGTTTGACCTAGTTCTCGCGAAAGGGGCAGTTTGGGAAGCACTCACCAACATGGACTGCACCATTGAGTCCATGTCAGATCATAGACCGCTTACCGCCAGCTTCGAGTTAGCAGACCAGATAGTCAGGGGACCGGGAACTTTCAGACTCAATACGGATCTCGTAGAAGACCCGGAGGTAGGCAATTGGACTGCAGCACATTGGGCCTATTGGCAGCAGAAAAAAGATGAGTTTGGCACGGAGGAAGAATGGTTGCAGGTTGGTTTCAGAATTGTTACTAGGGCCATGGACGCTTTCTCTAGAGTGCGGGCACGGAGCAGAAGACAGCAGGAACAACAATGCAGGGATCAAATAGCGGAGGCTGAGGAGGAGTTGGAAAACAGGCCTCTTACAGAGCTTTACTGGCAGCATCGCAGGGATAGGGCGCTGCTTAAACTGGAGGAGTTGCAAGTGGAACAGCAGGTTACCTGGGCGAGAAGGGCACGCGAGAAAGGAATGCTCACAGCGGATAGAATGCCCAAAGAAACATTCAAGAGGATCTGTCCACAGCGAGCAAATGCGATGATACGGGAGTTGCACCACCCATTCCATTCAGAGGCACCATCGGCAAAGGACACGGAGACAATCGGGGCCTATGCACTCACCTACTTCAGCGACATCCTGACCTCTAGAAGGCCACCGGACCAATCACTGCAAGAGCTCAGGGCAGAGGACGATCTGTGGCAGCATACAACAACTAGCCTGTCGCCAACAGCAAGAGAGCAGATGGAGCAGCCAATCACGTTAGAAGAGTTATGGCAAACGGTGCGCAGCATGGCACGAGGGAAAAGCCCGGGAACGGATGGTCTCCCGGCCGAGTTCTATGAATTCGCCTGGGACCAGCTAGGACCATTGCTGTCAAGTCTGTTCAATCAGGTCCTGCAGGGAGGTAAGCTGACGGAGGATATGAAAACAGGGATCATTACGCTGATCTACAAAAAAAGAGACAAATGTAACATACGAAACTGGCGGCCGATCTCAAGGCTAAACGTCTCCTATAAAATCCTCTCCAAGCTCTTCGCGAGAAGGCTGGTCCGATTCCTCCCTGGTCTTGTCCATACCGATCAGGGAGCCTTCGTCCGCGGCAGGTCCATTGGAGGAAATATTCTTATGGCAATCGGTGCTCTCGAGATCATTCAACAAGAGAACCGTCAGGTCATGGTTGCTATGCTAGACCTCGAGAAGGCCTACGACCGGGTGAACTGGTCCTTTGTTCTAGGGACGCTGGAGCATATGGGCTTTGGGCCCAATTACTGCACCTGGGTCAGGGAGCTCTACGTCGACTCCACAGCTTCAGTTTGTGTAAATGACCTCCTCACACCAACTTTCTCTCTCACACGTTCACTGCGGTAGGGATGCCCCCTCGCCTCGCTCCTCTTCGCGCTGCAAATGGAGGTGGTGCTCAACTCCATCAGGGCAAATCCTCAGATCAAGGGGCTAGATCTAGGCGAAGGTGACACAATGACAACAGGGCCTATTGCGGACGACCTGCTACTCACCATTGAAGCGACGCAACAGTCATCCAAAGAATCCAAAACCTGCATAGACAGATACGCGAAGCTCTCCGAAGCGCAGCTGAACTGAGAGAAATCGGTATATTTCCTCCCTTCTGACTATGCGTTGCCAGAACACGATTGGGGCATGAAGCGGATACCACCAGACCTCTCCGAACGATACCTGGGTGTCCAAGTGTCTCTCTCGGACGCCAGGCCTATGCAGCAATCTATTCTCCAAACCAAGATTCATTCAAGTGCGCAAAAGTGCAGAGTGGCAATTGGGATTTCTCTCTTGGGCAGAGCTATGCTGATCACCTCAGTGATCTTTGCACAGCTCTGGCATGTAGCAGTAGTCTGTCTGCTGGCTAAACCAGCAATCAAGGCAATCAAGTCCGAAGCGAGTCGCTACCTATGGAAGCCGTCAGCCAAAGAGGAGGAGGGATTTGTCACTAAATCTGCCTGGTCGAAGGTGACAACCCAGAAGCATGAAAGGGGGCCCAGCATCATTGATCCGCAGGGCCAAAACATTGCATTGTTGACCAAGTGGCTCCTCAAGGCCACAAACCAGGTGGAGCGAAGAGTTTCGCTGCAGGTACTCGAGTATCTGATACAGCAGGAACTTTCACTCGCACGGAAGGAGGATGTATGGGTCGCCTTGTTCATGTCCTCCTTCGCACGCAGAAGACCGCACTCGCCTCTGGGCAATGCCTGTTGGACAGCCTGGGCTGCACTCGCTCCCACCGGAACGTCTCAACCGGTCACGAGGGAGGAAGTTCTCAGGCAGCCATTGTTCGACAACGAGATGATCATCACATCCCAAGGAGCACCCTTCGCTGCCACAGCAGCGCCAGGGAACTTCGGCAGGAGATGGTTGGAAAGAGGGATATGTAAAATAGCAGACCTATGGGATGAGGACTCGAAACAGTGGCAAACTGAGAATTCACTCAGAAGGCGTCTCTACCGACTGCAATTAATCCCTCAGCGCAGGGGAGCACTCCTGCAAGCCATACCGCAGGAGTGGAAAGATCTTCTCCACACCAGCGCACCAGTGGAGGGGCAATGGTACACAACACCGCAAGCAGCAGAGGCGGGCACCTACTACCGGATCCAGGAAGCCCTTGACAATGAAGTCCGACTGGCACAAAGCTGGCACGTGGAGCAACACAACAGAGACTCCACCAATCTGGTTCTTCAAGCAACAGTGGCACTCGCGAATGATCAGGACCTCCAGCTCGTGCAGGTCCATTCTAGTAGCACAGCAGCAACTACAACACATAGACTTCTGATGGGAGGGCAAGCGCTGACACAAATGCGAATTGATCCAATGGGGCATTATTGGGAGCAACAGCCTGGAAACCGCACTTACCTGCATCAATACACGACAAGCCAGGGAAGGAAACTTCTGAATCCAGCCAGTCGACTACCCAATACAGTCGCAGAAAAGATCAACAGGCAGCAGGCCCAAGCAACGCAGACAACCCCGATTACTGCCAGAGAGCTCTGTGTATTGTGGCAGCAGCTGCCAAAGCTGCCCTCGGTGAAGTTGGCAGGTCTTCTATGGCTGCTTTCCCACGCTGTCGTCCCTACGGCTGTGTGGCTCTACGAAAGGAGCATGGATATAGCAACTAAATGCAAGAGATGCGGTAGCAGGGCAGAAGAGACACTAGAGCATCTTTTTTTCTTCTGCCCTGCCTCGAAAAGACTATGGGATTGGTGGCAGAGACATTGGTTTCGTTTCGTGGGCTCCCTCCTCCCTTGGGATGTAATCTGGGTGCTGCAAGGCCGCATACCGGAGTCATGGTTCAAGCACATAGGCAGGGGCTACGTCGCCCAAGCAATACGAGCCATTTTTATCTGCCTGATTTGGGAGGACAGGAACAACATCCTGTTCAGGCAAAGCTGGACCAGCGATGCCACAATGATTGGCAAATTCAAAGCCTGGCTCCGTGCGATGATTCGTGTCGATTGGATCAGGAAAGCAAAGAGGGGGCACTCTACCAGGGGAAGACACTGGTTTTTAGTTACATGGGCAAGGGATAACCAGTTGGCTGCTATTGATCACACAGGAGCCCTAGTCATTAGCCCCTGGCTCAGAGATTAGGGGGGAGGGCAGCAGTACAGCACAATGCAAAGCGTAAGGGACAGTAGAGGTAGGTAGAATAAACCAGGGCACTCGGTTTCTGTAGGTGACCGCAGTAGGTCACAACGGGAGGAGCGAGGAGGAAGGAGAGGGTCCAGAAGTAGGAGGATTTATTCCACCCGGTCGCTTTAGCCCGGGTTCGGTCCGGGCCATATAGGCCTGTGTATAGGTGTAGATAGTGAAGAATGTCTTTACAAGCCAAATCGGGCCCTGACCCGGCTGGGCTTCAAAAAAAAAAAAAAAAAAAAAAAAACAAATCGTCCCCTTTTCTCCTCCGGTCAATCAGTATTGTGTACTGCATCCGTTTCGAACCTGGGCCTGTAACTGCCCTTTTGCCCGGAGCTGGCTTCTGAAATGAGCATCGTTTCGCTATTGCCAAATCACACGCATGGCAATACCTCTGCCGGGAGCTGGCTTCAACAACATAGCCCCAGCCTGAATCAAGCCCAGAGTGGCTTTCTATCCATCCGTCTGTCCAAGGAAATGCGCGGGAAAAACAAAATTTCAATTTTCAATGAATTCAGTCAGGGTTTTGCAGTCTAGTCACCAGTCATTGGTTTTCCGAAAAATGCCACGTATCCAGCGGCCTACCTTAGCTCAGTTGGTAAGGCACGCAAGTGGCATTCAGGAGGTCTTGGGTTCAATCCCATTGGCCTCATGTACCTTCCTCGGCATGCTTGGCGCCGGCCACCTAGAGATAGCCCGTTGGTCCCCCCAATTGGCATTAAAAAGCAGTCTCTGCTGATGTTCATAGGGGGAGGGGTACTCAGGGAGGCACAGCGACTGGCCAATCAGATGATGCTCGGTCCCTCTGCTACCGGCTGTCCCCTGGCCGGTGCCCCCAGTGGGGGATCCCTGAAGGCTATCAGGCCACCCTAAGGCTATCAGGCCACACAAGATTGAATTTACCTGGGCTGGTTAGTCCGCTGATAATACCTCAAGGCCATCGCCCAAAAAAAAAAGAAAACAAAGAAAAATGCCACGTCAGGTGTGGGCAAAACATCTTGGCCGTGTCCCAGCCACAAGGGAACAGGCCAGGTCTGAATCCGGCCCAAATCACGGCCAGATTCTTTTCCAGGGCCGTGTAACTTGTAAGCCCAGCAGCCCCGCTTCATTTGCGGCAGGAAGAATTTCAGCCCTTGGATCTCTCCGACGGAATAGCTGAAGATTTTCCAGTGGCAAGTGAATGCCCAGGCCATGGACCCGGTACTACCGTCTTCCCCCAAGCATAACGCACCCTAAAAATGAATGCATACAAGCAATATTTCCGGCCAGATACAGCCAAAAGTCCACGCGAGCTGCAAAATGTGAAAAACTCCGTTCTCTTCGCCAGCGGAGCACCCTGCAGTCACGGGAACCCACAATGTGGTAGCGCACCCCGCCTTTCCCAACCAACCGATCGCAATAGGAACGACTACCGGTCTTCTGCTGAATAGAACGCCCGGTAATTATGCCCGTATCTGGACTGAAAGCTGCGTCGAATACAGATATAATGACCGGGAGTTCTATTCGGGTGAAGAGGGCAGTGTGATGATATGTGTCATGCAGTAGACAGGTTAGGGAGATATATACCGAAGAGACGATTTGTTAAAGGCTGTTGACCCGCACCGGGGGCAAGGTCCCACTTGCACGGATTACGAGATTTTGGCCGTTGATCTCGGCTATCTACGGTCTCTATCTCTTAATTCGTGCAAGTGGGTAGCCCCGGGGATGTGCTGTCAACGGGCCGGCCATACGCATCGGCGGGTCTTGGGTTTAAACGGACGGAGGCTGGTGGCATGAAGTTGGAGAGGGATGAAGGGTCAAGACTGCTGGATGGCAGTTCTTACCCCCTGAAGAGACTGTGGCGAGAGCCGAAAAGCGCCAGGGCGCCAGGGCGCTTTTCCCCTAGTGTGTAACGTAGCTGGTTGCTAAAGAGGAGACGACCCTGATGTACTCTTACGGATCTATAGTCCATAATACTATTGCGATGTGAATTTTCATCTGTTTCTTCTGGATATTGTTTAAGAGTTGGATTCGACGCCATGTTTCCTTACTTTACTCCCTACTGGTTGAGCTCTCTCGTCTTGATTGTTTCATGCTCTCTATCGCATCTCAGAGATCTGTTAAAGCGTTGGTTCTTGTATTAATGAATTTTATATTTGTGGACTTCGTATTTCTGTCTCCAACACGGTGTTATTGGTCGAATACAGAATCTGTGTGATGTTCGTCTTGTAGTATGACGTGCCTTGTGATCATTCGAATTGTATCGAGTTGTTTGAATATCGTGTGCGACCGTGGACAGTCCGCATGTGGATGGTAGTGGTTAAATCTCACAACATGCGCAAATAAAAAAAAAGGAGTTCTTCAGCTTTGTATGGATGCAAGGAAAACCCGCGTATGCTTGGGACGGGAGGGGAACATGGATGTTGCCGACAGCTGATGAGGTGTCAGTGTGAATTTACGGGTAGTACCGCTAATACCATCGTTCGACTGGTCGATCTCACATACCTACAGTAGGCGGCGTGCTGCTCCGACGCTTATAAACGTGCACGATAACGAGCGCGGTGACCAGGCCCACAGCTGCAATACAAGCAACGGGCACAGCGACTGTGAGAAATTTATTCCTAGACCTTGAGTGGGAAGGAGGCTCGGGTGGCAACGACGAAGACGGCATCTGGTTGGGCAAAAGTAGGGTAGGCGGGAGGCTGCTGGGAGGAGAAATACATCTGACTCGAGAGATGTGGGTCGAATCTGAGACTGACGGCGAGGATAACGACAAGCTCGAAGAAGACGGAGATGGTGACGAAGATGGAGGAGGTGTGAGTGATGGGGAGGGTGGCGACGAGCTCGAGGATGGCGGAGACGGTGAGGATGATGAAGAGGGGAAGAACTCTGCTGAAGAGGTCGAAGGGTCGCTGACGGGTGGTGGAAAGCAGATATGCAAGGACTTGCTTTCTATTGGAAGCTCGAAGAAAAGGCCCTTGGTCGATGCGACATACAAGCGTACGTCATCGCCTTGTTGACGGAGCTCCAAGGCCCACAGGAAGGAATCATTGCGACTCAACTGAGCAACGGTSTCCGAAGTGAATGCTCCGCCACAGGGCTCACTGAGCTTAATCCAGCGAACCGTACCTGACTGCTCGCTGACGAAAACATTGCACCCGTCGTCCGTGGCTACTACGCTCCGCAGTTCGCCTGCATCGAATGCCGGTGTCGATGAGTTCGCGACAGGTGTCATCATTCCTACATTGTGATTCACCGACCACACCTGGTTCCTTTGCGTGATAAGAAAAAGGCAGCTCCCATTTGCAGCAATGCTCCTCCTGCTGAATCTGAGCTCTGGGGAGATTTTATCTACCGCTAATTGGACGAAGCTTTTCGGAAGTTCTGTGAGTCCAGCTGGAAGAAAGGCAGTTTGAAGCCACGCGTGAGATTCATTCCTGATTGCGAGATATAGTTGGTTATTAGTGCTGTCGACCGCCAAGCTCTGTGCGCGCTTAAAAATGGGAATACTTTTTCGGCTACCATCCGCGGAAGAGAGGTCCGTGAGCCATGAGTTGTTTGGATCGTCGTTTGAGCTGTACGAAGTCAAGAAAATGCTTCCCCAAGGTGACAGTGCAATGCTGTGGGGAATAGCCATCGGTGGCCCAGGCTCGTCCGTCTTCCCGTTTGACTGCTGTATCTTCACCGCCGTCTCCACTTTCTGTCCATCCACTGACTCAGCGGGCCACCAATAAGATACGACAGAACTGACGCCTGTCTGCAAATCCGCTTTTCTAATGGAAACAGTCCAGTTTTTAGTGGAATTTTCAGATTGGGTGCAGCGCGAGTCAAGAATGTAGTACAAGGAGTTATCATTTTCGCTCAGGACCATACTACGGTAGGTAGAGGTGCAACTGCCATCATCGTTCGAGCCCATCGGAACGTCAATTGAAACGTCCAATACTACTTTACTAGAAAAGAACGGTGCTCCAACAATCTGATTATCTTCTGTTAGGTTTTTGTCTAACGGAGGCGGCTGGACAGGCGTATAGCCGGGATCCTCCAGCCAACCCCCTACAAATACCGTCTGCAGGGAACGGAAACCAAGGCGGTGTCCATGTCCGCGCGAAACGGGCGACGAGTCGTGCCTTGCTTGATCAACTTGCGAGCGTAGGTCAGAAAACCACACCACCATTACCAGCGCTAGCAAGAACATACCCTGTTTCAGTCCGACCAACCTCCGACCGGAGAAGTGGCCCCCCATAGGGACCGAGTCAAACGATTCCGGTCCCACAGCCCTAACACTATCCTCATCCTGAAGTCCCATCCGGCACTCGTTCCCCATGGAAACTGAGGCTCTATCAGAGTCTGCGGGTCGCTCCCACCCGCGCATGAACCTACGCCCTAAGGTAATCCGCGTTTTACACCCCCCCCCCCCCCCCTCCCCCGGCCCCCCGCCCCCCGCCCCTCCGACCCACTACGGGACGTATTAAAACTAAGCCAGACCACTGAAGGCGTCGGACCTCGGCTGAGCAAAGTCGAAGCGATTGTAGACCCAGGCTATTCCAATGATGGATACCGGAGTTCCGAGTGATACCTTACTCTTCTCCTTTCGATCCAGGACCTGACGAAACTGTTACAGCTCCATTCGGCCAAAGCATTCTCCTACAAAGCACCCCCTCCTGGGTTTAGTCCAGCCCCGCTCCCATCACTTGACTACCTGCAGCCTGCAGCACAATCACCGCTGACCAAACAAGGGCCTTAGATGGGTCAATCATCAAGACAAGGACCGGAATTGATTCATCAAGATGGCGGCTTTGGCCGCGATTTTGCCAGTAGTTTTGAAATTTCGTTTTTTTCAAAAGGCGACAACTTTGGGATATCATCATTGAGCTGATCAGTCCCAAGTAATTCACACTCTGATGGAATCAAGTGAACTAAATCACTCTGCATATTCACACTAGCACTTTCCAAAATGCATCTGACAGCAATTACGGCCAGACCTGGATGAATCTGACTGCAATCACGTCCAGAGCTTTGGGGAAAACGTCATACTGTCAGAGTATGATTATGGCTTCAGTTCTGCAAGCCCAAGACAATCAATATCAATACTCTAATATTATAGATACATGCCTGTACAGCAATGATAACTAACTAGCCACTCCCGCCATGTCCTATGCATTATCTATTCGAAACTTTTGATTTGCGCGTGTCATCCTTGCGCAAGGACCATGATAATCTTCTTTGTATCATTCTAATTTTAACTGATGTCCCAAAGGACTTTTCGAGCTTCTCCCCCTCTCGTCCTTATCGCAATAAGTATTGCCAAATTGCCCTCCCCCCACGGACTCCCCACTAGAGAGGATTCGATTTTTTGTCCTCTCCGCTCACAGTTACAGAACGAGTGGAAGGTTGATTGAATTCCCTTGCGAATCCCGATTTTTATTTTCTTCTTGGGTATGTACTCTGTAATTTGGATCGTATAAATTCGTTAGGTAACCTGACCTATTGAGTTCGATGACAGTCCTTCTCTCTCTCTCTCTCTCTCTCTCTCTCTCTCTCTCTCTCTCTCTCTCTCTCTCTCTCTCTCTCTCTCTCTCTCTCT